AGGATCCTTCAGCAGAGGTCAAGATAAGCCTCTGAGAAGTCAATGTGAGCACCATGCCATCACATCTGACAAGGTGACAAATTTGCACTTTTCTCAGGCTCACCCAAAGGGGAGGCAAAAGTATTACTCAAAAAGACAGTAAACCCAGTGCTTCTACTCACACAAACTGGTTGGGTACAAAAAGAACTCCTTTTGTCTCCAACACGTTACAACAAACGTACATGTTCTGTTTACCATTTAAAGTATCTTGTAGAGAACTGCATGTTTTAAAAAAGCCAATTCCTTGCCTAGATACATCCCCACTTGTGGAAGGATGTAACCCTCTTCCATCTGTTCCAAAGAATGACTTTCAGAGGAAAAGGGGGTGTTGTAGGTTGCTAAGTTTAAGAGGAAAAAAAAAAAAGAAAAAATGAAAAAGAGAAAGGAAAAATCAAAAAGCACCACACATACTCCAGTACTTTAATCAGTTTATCATTAAGATTAGATAAAGTGTCTCTTATGGGAAAAAAGCCTTTTTTTTTAAAACTCTGCTTCAGAGTGTGTATTTATGACTGATACAAAGAACATTGCCTTAACCAGGTCTTTCCATCCTTTCAAAATATTTTCATGCAAATTCACAAAAGAGACTGCATTTCCCCTGGGACAGTGAAAGACTCAACTGAAATAGGAAACTTAAAAGCAATACAGAATGTTTCTTAAGGATAAAAATGTGTCTCTTCTTGATCTACAAGGTGATCTATAAATGCTTTCTGAGGAAAAGCATCCACACAGCCTTTTTAAATAGGTTAGGCATTCATCTTCCTCAGGCTCTAACAGACCTATTTGAGAAAGTGTTATGAAAGAAAAACAGACAATCCCAGTGATAAAACTAAAGGAATTTTTTCCTAAGACCACTTATAAAAAAGGCACTGTGCTAGTTCTAACCTATCATTACAATATTATCTTAACACCTTTAGTGTTTTGTCAAGACAATGATCCAACACATACATTTCTATTAATAAAAGTGATTTCCAACCTGCAATGCAAGTGATCTCCACTTCAAGAAACAAGTCAACACAGTATTCTGAAGACAAGAATTTAAATGAAACACCACAGTGTTTTATTGTTAACATCCTGAATGACAACGTGGTGCTTATAAGGATAAGTGTCTTGGACTTAGGAATAATGAGATTTGGGTCCTGCCTCTTTAACAGCAGAAAATAGTTTAAAAATCAGTCATTAATACTTTTTCAAGATCTTCTGTTTGCATGAGACATTAACTCTTGTCTTTCCATAATGTAGTTTCCATGTGCAAGTCCAAATATGCCATTCTATTTTCAAGACCTCTTGGACTGTAGTTACAAAGCAATTCTTAAAATGAAAGGCTCTTTATGCTGTACACATATTGCTTAGGTAAGAATGCAAGTTTTCTGACCATCTCCCAGCTAGACTTCAGCAAGCAGATTTTTTATTCCAAATTAAAAAGCTGGTGCAGTTTATGGATGTAAAATCACAAAAGACAACAAAAAAAAAACCCCAATTTATACAGAATGAAGCCTTTTTGCTGGTAACTCGAGTATTTCATTCCCCCATTCTCTACCTCTGATTTTAGATACTTTTTAGGTACTCAAATTGTTCTGTTGTAAACTTCCTAGTGAAACACCTGATCATTTAGCTGAAACACAGACAGAAATATATTTAATTCAGGTAAATAAATTCAAAAATATTTTCATAAAATTCTCCAGTAAATGAACACAAACTTTTGAAAGTTTTGGTTTGTTTTATTTTTGGGGAGGAAATGCAGTGGTATCTGGTTTTGGGTGAGGCTTTTAAAATAAGTATTAGACGTTATTAAATAGCAGAAAAGAGACAGAGAGCAACAGAGAGCAGAATCTACAAGTGTGTTTCAGAACACTCCAACAAAGGGGAAAAATCACCTGTTGGGAAAAGTTCAGAGAAACCTGAGCCTAGGTTTAATGGTTTGATTCATTTTCTGTAACTTAAGAGCTGCTTCTGCAGATACATTGCGTGGACCCAGGGAAGTTGGGAGCTTTTTTAAGAGGCAATGGTCTTTTGGAAAGGGGTTTACTAAAAAGTCAAGTATTTCACAGGTTACCATAACAACAAAGTGTAACACTGAAAAACCCCTTAATGACACATTCTTAACCAAAAACGTTGTATTAAGAATGGCTATCCTGGAGCTCTCAGCATGATAATTAAATACCTGCAAGGCAAAGGTACCAATTTTTTCCCTACGTTGCTCAGCCTGAAATAGAAATTACATCACTGCCCTTATAGGCTATAGGAAAGTCTGACTCTACTGACACAGATTTTGTCTAACAACTGTGGATCAGAGTCACTTCAGTTGGCAAAGGCTTTAGGATCACCCAGTCCCAACACTCCATAACCTTAGTCTTTGACCAGATTAACTTGGGGTAGTGAGATTCTTTAATGTAAATCTAAATCCCATCACCTCTTCCATCACCCATCTTCTCAAGCTGCCATTTCTCCAGTTAAATATCTCTATCAGCAGAAGTCAAGACTAGAAAGAAGCCTTTAGCTTTTAGATAGCCTAGGGCAAACCTGACCCAGGTTTTGAACAGAATGACAGCAAGACTGCTCAGAAAAACCAGCACAGGGAGAACCACTACTGAGAGCAAAGCAATAGGTGATACATTGACTCTGCTGCTTGAAGCACGGGGACTGCTGTGTTTTGTGCCAGTTACAGTGGGGATTTATCAAGTATGAGGCATAACAACAAAATGAGGGGTCAAAACTGCATGAAACCTCACAGCAGGTAGGTGTGGATATTACAGGGAATGATGCAATCAGCTGCCCAGCTGCAGACAGAAATGGGATTTTTTAAATCCCAAATGATTATTCCAACATTATAACCACACCAGGGCGGCCTAGTGGCTTGTCCATCAGCATCACCACTGTCACACGAATTGGCAAAATGCTCCATTAACTCCTGCAGCTGTGTGAATACTACACAGGCAATTGCCAAGGAAACATCAGAACATATGCTCACATGTCTTTCTTCTCTCTATATCTGAGGTAACATGATATAAATGCAACACAAAATTCAGGAACAGAAACTGGTGGCTTAGGCAGGGCTCTGGGGAGAGAAGGCAGAGAGCACTGGGAAATGTATGCTAAAGTGATGAAAAGGGCTGGAGGCTCAATGGCTCTCAAAGGGCAGAAACAATGGAATTTAACAGAACAGCAGCTCCACAAGTTCAAAATTAATGAATCAACAGAAAAGTGAGCAAACAGTCTGTAGAGCTGACAGCTGAAGTGCTGAGATAGTCATCAAAAGTAGAAGCACTGGCTTAGCAATTTATCATGGAAAATGGAGCAGCATCATTCCCTTACAGAATATTTGACAAAAAACATAAGGCAGACATGTTGCTTGCCCAGACAAACTTACAGTCCAAATAATTTAAAATACTCTCCAACACAATCAGATCCCAATAGAGATCACTGATGAACTGTAAAGTATTTGTTTTTGCCATGGAGCTGGTACCTCAGTACTTCTAAATACCAAATTCCATTGCTTACATAGTATTATAAGCAGTTTTCTGCATAGACAATTATCTGGTTCACTGGTTTTATTCTACTCCTGGTTGAATGAACAGATTTTTGACCAAAAAAAAAAAAGCAGTAATACATTATCCCCACTGACTTTGATAAAAAGCTCCAATGGCCCCTATGGCCACAGACATTTCATCACCTACTGGAACTACAAAAAGTAACACAACCTTAAGTAAAGTTGGTTCACAAGTAACAAAAGGGAAAGCTGAGGATACAACAACAAGAAAAGATGAAGCCAAATTTAGCAAACTGAAGTGGGAAAGTCCTGAAAAAACATACTGATGCCTTTTAATCTGAAGGACATAGAAAGGACCATTTTGATTTTCCAGTCTAGTGCCTGCAGTAATATGGCAATTGCATCAGAAATTCATATGGAGTTTTATTAAACATCCTCTTACCTTACAATTTTTACCTGAGATGTTAACACAGCCTTTGCAAAAACCAAAATGAGCTGTTTTGTTAGAAACACCTGCTCCAGGAACCAGTCCTGTTTCATTATGAATAATTCAGCTCAAACACAATTAAATACTCATTGTACACATTTTCCCAGTACAAAAAAATCCAGAAATTTTTTATAAATATAATTTTATTCTACTTACAATTACGGATATTGTTCCAGTCAATTTTAGAAAAAAATGGATGGCAGCAGAGATCCTCATAACCCAGCCTTTCCTTCTGCCCACAGAGCAGGCTCTGGATCAGGTCAAGAAAGTCACTGCTAACTTTCACATCCTCTGGGAACTTCAGAAATCTCTGCATTAGAAAGAAATGGATTTCTGCTCAGTAGGAAAACAGGCTCAGAACAGGAAGACTAAGTTTCATTATTCTGAGATATGTCAGGTACAAAGGATGAATATTTATAGCACACAAATAAAAGCATGGTGCATTTTATCCAAATAGGCTTTTATATGCATTTACTGCAGGAAAGATAAGAACACAGGAACAACCATTCCCACCAAGGCAAATGGTATCCCAGGTCAGCATCTTATGCTGAGCAATGGCCAATGGCACACACAGATGGAAGAGTAAAAAAGACACTTCCCCAAAAAATTCTCACAAACTTTCAAAGGGTGGGTCATAGGATTTTTTGAATCAGGGATGATGACACCTGTTACAAAAAAATAACTTGATTCCTATAATACCTATATAAATACAACACTGGACATATATTCCAAATATTTTATGAACATGACAAGTAAGAGACATCCATAAACTTATGTAAAGCTGAGAAAAACAGCATTTAGTTACAACCTTTTTACTTGAGAACAGGAAAGGAGTTCTCTCTACCTGGAAGTTCATGATGTTATTGAAAGTTTTTGCTGATGTGCCTTCAGTGAAGGGAGACCTTCCATATATCATTTCATAGGCAATAACTCCAAGGGACCACCAGTCACACTCGGGGCCGTAGGAGGCTTTGCCATCCCCTCCCAGCCCTGTCAGCATCTCTGGTGCCATGTAGTCAGGTGTACCCACAGGGAGCTTGGCATTTACCTGGGAGCAAAGACAAACCAAGTGAAATTACAGCACTTTCTGTTCACTGGCAGCTTGGTAATAAAACAACGTTTTCTTTTTACCCCCATGTTTTTTTCTTTTTAATGCGACATAATTTTCAGTCACGAGAATTTTAAGAAAGTAATTTTAAGCAAAGCTGTTGAGCAAATAAGCAGTAGGTTAAGGAAACTGCTGATAAACAAACAAAGCAAGCTATTTGATATAAAGAGTCAAATTATCAGAGCTAATTGTTACTATAAAGTACAAACTGATAAAGTAGAAAAGTACAATCCCAAAAAGCACAGAAATACTAAACTGATGTTTGTTTTAAACAGCAAACATACTTTGCTTCAACTAGTATTAACAGGAACATAGCTGAAATTTCAAAAATGGTCAAGTTGAGACATAAATATTTCCTGCCCTCATTATATTCTCTGTCACCTTTACATTTTTACCTAGTGGTCATGATCAGCAAAGTACTAATACTTGAATTTCTGGTCTGCTTAGAAAAGGTAATTCAGGAACCAATGCTGCAATCATTTTTGTACTGAGTAGCAAAAAGAATGAAACAAAGCAGCAGGCAGGCTAACACAAAAATCTATAAGTGACTGAAGAGACAGTGTGAAGAAAAAGTTTTTTAAAAATTTAAATGCAATGCAGAGAAGCACTGAAAATGTAAGAGCAGGGAAAACAGGATATTAAGAATCACATTACAAAGAAAATGTTATGGAAAAATAAAAACTGTAAAACAAGACAAATATGGTACAGAACTTGATGTTCTCACTTGAATACATTTAAATTTTAAAAATTTTCACTGGAAGTTGTATGCAGTTACCAAAACTTTCAAGCAACTTATAAAAATCTCCACTGATTTAGATTTGATGCAGTACTTTCTGGTGAGTGAAGCCCAGAATATTTAAATGTGACTCATTTTGATCAAGAGCTCCCCAGTCTTCAAAGTTATGTCATCTTAGTTACAACAGGCACAATTTTTATTCCAACTATAAATCCATGTCCCCTTTAAACACAGAATTGAACAAGTGTGAGAACCTGTAGAAGTATGTTTTTGTATCATAGTGCAGCACCATGAGAAAGCAAACTTACCATTATCTCTCTTGTGTATTAATATTTTAATAAGCAAATATTAAAGAGCTGAGGGCTGCAAAAGATACTTGAGCTCATGCTTGAAAAGCCATTCACAAATGGAAAAATACAATTGTGAATAGATTCCATAGTGGACAAGAAAGGCAGAAGAGGCAAGAGCAAGGTGTAATGAAAGAACAGATACCAAGTTAGTTTTCCCTTTTCAATTGGGCTTTCCAAAGAGGCCACAAAGTTTAAATCCACATTGTTACCGTTTTGTTTACTGTCATTTTGGCTGCTGACCCAAAGTCCACCAGTTTGATGTGTCCTGTTCGGTCAATAAGAACATTTTCTGGTTTGATATCCCTGTAAGCCAGAAGAAAGCAATCAGAACCTTTCCAGACCATTCCCTACTGTCACATCCAGATAACAGGATATCCCTATTCACCTATACTCAACCACATGCATAAAGCCTTTCAAGTGGGAGTCTTCTTCCAAAAATTGCCCTGTTTCCAACTACATATGGAAGTATTACAGCTCCCCTTATTTCATGGAAGGCTAATAATTATTGGCAGCAGATGAAAAGAGAAGGTGATTTTGCACCTTGACTTCATTGTAACTGAGTTACAGTAAAGTATTTTGTAGTTTTCTTCCCAAACTCCATCACAACTTATTCTGCAAATCTTCCAAATTCAGCCAGTGACCTTGCACTAGAAAGCCACAGCCCATGCTCTAAGTGGAGCCACTACTAACTATTGGAACATAATATACTTCCTAACATTTCCACACCCTCAGAATGGAATAGTTTTTTTAAATACCAGTATGATTTGAAAATGCACACAGTAACAGTCTCCAAGCCCTGAGAGAAAATTCTGTGATATTTAAGTACTCCAACATCCTATACTACCCTGTTCACCAATCAGCACACAACCATTTTTAACAATTACATTAATTTTCCATAGTATTTGGTGCCAAAAGCAGCAATCCATGGAAAATATTTAAAATTTTTATAGTGCAACATTACGGCTTCTTTTTACTGAGCCTCCAGAAAAATATATGTAACAATCTTTTCTTGATACTGGTCTGAACTTTACATCAAAGTTAATGCCCTGAGCTACAATTATAGTTGGGAGTCTGATTAATTTTCTAATTTCTTCCTCTGACACAGCATGTGAAATACTGAAAAGGGACAGAATATAGAAGCACCCAACGCAACATTTACGTACCGGTGGACATAACCCATCTGATGGACACTGTGAATGGCCAAAACCAACTCTGCAAGGTAAAACTGCACCATATTCTCATCCAGCTGGTCCTCATATCTGTTTAAGAGTGACAGCAAGTCCCCTCCAGGCTGATATTCCATAACCTACATACAATTTTAAAGGAACGGATATACAAGATACTCCATTCAACTCCCCAGTAAGACACTGGGCATATATCAAACAGTGCTATGTAGTGCAGGAAAATTTACAGAAAACAAGCACATTTCAACCATCACATTATTCTTTAATAAACCAACAACAATGGTGTTCAATAGAGGAGAAAATCAAAAACTAGGCATTACCAAGTAGAGATTTTTCTTGTCTTGAAATGCATACTGTAATTGTGGAATCCATGGACTGGTGCTCTGAGCTAATATGCTGCGTTCTTCCTCAAAAAATGACACCTACCAAAAAAGTGTTCAGTTACATCATGATGAGAGGGAGTGAGAATACATTAGAATCCCCTAGTTTTAGAAAAACTTGGCACACATCACAAGAAAATTACACAGAAATTATTAAGTGCTGTTTCCTGAGCAAGTGCCATGTGAGGGTAGTGCCATAGTTTGCTTTCTTGTCAATCTGTGCCCCAGAAAGGGTAATTTTAGTTGGGCTCCATTTCTCCTAGCCACAAACAATGCTGAGGGATATTAGGAGCAACCTTACTGCACCAGGTATTGGGAACAACTGATGCAGATATTGTATAAATTCATGAGGTCTCATGGAGTATCTCTGTCCTACTTGTCATCTCATATCAGCAAAGATTAACTTCTGTTTCTCACCAAACTATGAGAACAACCTCCATTATCCCTTTTTTAAGTTTCCAAGTAACACATTTCTCAAGCTAGCAAGAGGCTCTCCATAAAAATCCAGTCACCACAGTTTGCCTTCACACCCACTCTTGACATTCTCCTTTGCTCTTTAAAATAAAAAAAAAAACCTTAATGAATAGATTGTCTGAAAATTCAAACCATCATCAACAAGATAAATACTGATTCAGTGTTTTCGTCATCTGTTTTTCTTTCCTTATAAATAGATGGGAAGCTCTTTACAACAAGGGCCATGTTTTGGTACCTGAGGATGGCACCTCACCCAACAGACCCATAGACTGTGACAATGACTTTTAAACACAGCAAGACTACACACAAATTTATAGCTTCACTCAAATGCAGGATGAGCTTTTTCAAGATCTATTTTAAACTCAGTTCTAATAATAGTGAGAGAAAGGAAGTGTTCAACAAATTGCAATTTATCCTCCTAGTCACATAACATAAAAATATACATACGTGCTCCTGCGCCAGCAAGGACTCCTTGCTCATCACCTTCATAGCATAGACATCACCAGTGACTTTCTCTCTCACTACTTTGACATCTGCAAAGTGACCACAGCCAACCACACTCTTTACTTCAAAGTCCTTCACACTGGGTTGCAGTTCCTTTAGTTCAGCAATAGCCTCTGCATCTATAAAAATAAAATACTTATTTTTACATTTGGCAACTGGCATTTTATAAAAAAGAGACAATATCGAAACTGGGAAATAAAATTAAAAAAGCTCCAGCAAACCCAAAAAAAAAATCCCAACCTTCATTTCCAGATTCTCAAGAAATGTTAAATCTTTCCAGAATATGCTTCTTAAAAATAACACCATACATCAGAACTAGAAAAAGACTGTATCAATGCAGAGTTAAGTCTGAAATATGGTACATACAAAAGGATCAGGAAATGCTAAGACAGTTCCCATAGCAACCATAATTCTGTCCCATTCATAACATCAGAGGCTGAGAACCTCTTTGGTTCTTAATTTCCTTCCAGCCATCCTTTATCAAAAGTATATTCTCTACACATGAAGGCTTTACCCAGCGAGGTCTAGTCCAAGGGCAGGGTTTTCTCCTCTGCCTGAGGGAGGCACCAGTCTATTGTCTAACAACCAGCCACAGACATTTATTGCAGATATTCAGCTCAAGTTTTCCACTGACTAGCTCCAGCCAGCATGCACTGTGATAATCAGTCACTCACAGGAGATTGCTCTAGAAATTCTTCAAACTAGCAGAAATTACTGTCTGCTAATAATACCTGCAAACCATTGGGTGGAACTATAACAGGGGGCACAACGTGTTACTTGAAATCGAATGTCTTTCTGCTACATCTTAATGGAAAAATTGATGGAAATTTTCTTTGCTCTTCCCAAAGAGGAATCTGGGCACATTAGCAATAAAATATTCACTCCTTTAGGATCTGTATTTCTGAAGCACAGAAATACTCTTTACAAGTTATATATGCAAAATTTGGGTAACACATGGAATCCAAAAGGTGAAAGAGCCAGGGATTACCAAGTTTCTCTCTCAAATCTTTTTTTCTCAGTCACTATCCTGCTCTCAACTTCTGACATCCTTCCATGGTGCACACTCAGAGCTTCGCTGTAGCCAGTACTCACTTTCCAAGAAAAGTGAGTACCTCTCGAAATATAAATACAGTACAGACTAAGAAGGAGGCACATTTGAGTCACAGCACTTCAAAAGCCACTTGCCTTTGATCTTCTTGGACCTGAACAAATCCTTACCAATATTGCCAAGATCCCCTTTGCAAAGTTGAGTCTGCCAACAAAAAATCAGATGTTCAAAGTCCTGTGTTGCAATCAAAGCAACTAAAGCATTACTCTAACATCCAGATTCTTAAGAACCGTTTTGTAAAGTGACACCTGAAAATTAGTCTAAACAAACTTACACTTCTTGACAAAGTTGCCAACATGTTTAATTTTCATTAAAGCAGGGTTTCTGCATTCTTCAAAAAGAACAAATAATGAATCAAGGATGCCTTCCCGGGAGAGAGGAGACATCTGCTGTTGAGTCACAAAGAGTGGCTTCCCCTGGAAAAAAAAAAGCAGCAACAGCAGATGGAGTCTTAGACAACAATGAAAAGCCTCAAATCAATAACAGATGTATAGAGCAGATAATATATATCCATTTTAAAATCACTACTTCAGAAATTAGGCAAATGATACAGAAGTGTGAGGTAAATATATCAACTCACTATGTCTATCTAGAATAGCTGTTACAGGTATTTTTCTTTTAGACAGATCAATCCTTTAACGTTTCAAGCAAATAAACTAGCAGCCTCAAGAAAGTTGTGATTCAAATTTTAACACTCTATATCCTCCTGATGACTCTGATCTGACTGGCCTTTTCCTTGAAACTGCATCATGCAGGTCTTTTCATGGTACAAACAATTTAAGAAATCAGCATCAACAGGAGCTCTGATGATGAAAAAGCAGTCCCTGGATAAATTCATCTTGAGACAAACCTACATCTCCTTCACTCATGTAAAAACTGAAAATTACAGGGCACAGAAAAGAATATTCCATCTTCATGTGGAAAAATCTACCAGGCTAAAACATCAGCAGATGCACAAAACATAAGACCAGTTACTATCCACTGAATATTGTGCAAACCAGGTACACTTTGAACTTCACCTAGTTACTCCTTTCGTTTACCCCAAAGAATGACACAGGCATGGTTTCAGCATCCAAACAAGCAAAGCTGTATTTTGAGATACTGGGAATGGACAAGGACAAAAGTGAGATCAGCTGCTCCCAGGCCAGACATCCTTCACCTGAAAGAGCAGATTTAGCCGAGAAACTCGGCTGGTGATGGGCTCCATTGCTCCTGCCTCGACCGGATTTCGCGCTCCACATTTAAACTTCAACATCTTTACAGCTTAGCTCATAGAAACGAGCACCTGAAAAAGGGAACAGGGACATTCGGGAAGCACTTAATTGGCTGACTCTAAGCAAAAGCTATGGATATGGGGGGATGTAATCTAAGTAACATCTACTTTTCCTCGGGGAGTAAATGTATAAGTTTAAATGCACCTGGAGCACCCTGACAATTAAAGTGGGGAGAAGAACCGAAGCAATTACGTTGAAGACCTCTGAGACTATTGAGTCCAACCTGTGAGCGAACCCCACCGTGCCACCTTTCCCGTGGCACTCAGCGCCTCGGCAAGCCTTGCCTCAAACACCGCCAGGGACGGTGACCCCGTCACCTCGCCGGGAGGGC